AATTTTTTCATAAAATTCAAATGTGTTACTGAGAAAAAGTTCAAAGAACAAGAATTTGAGGTGAACACATTTCATTATGTTTCATTAGCATGGGTATTCCAAAAATGGATTGGTAGGCTCTGAAGGGTTAAGGTTTTGTTCTTGTTTTGGATTTGTGGGATTTTTGACCACCATATTTGCCAGAGTTCTTTTCTGATCATGGATATTTTGGGTTCTGTATATCTCACTTATTCTGTATGTTAAATTCTTTCCCTATATTTGGAAAGTTGCAGTTATTTCTGTAAACAGATTTATTTATTCCTTCTGTGATGTCTTCTGATTTTTCACTGACTCTTAGTTTTAAATTAGTCATCTTTGCATCATCTAGTAGCTGTTGGATCCATTTTTCATGTTCTCTTGTTTTTAAGGTTTCTCTGAGTTTATGGTCACTGGTATCAGCCCTATCTTCTAAATCTGACACTTTCTATACGTTGGTCACTTCTGCTGCCTATACGTCAGTAGAATTTTTAATAATTTTGACTTTCTTCATAGACTATAATTCTTTGCCAAACTTGTCATTCATGTTTTGTATTGCTTTGTTAAGTTCAGCTAGCTTTTTATTAATGTTTTTTATGAACTCATTTGTTGTTTTGTTTATTAAATTCATTATCTGTTTAGTTATATCTTCTTTGAACTTCCTGGACACCTTATTGATCTTTTCAAATCTCCTCTCATTATTTTGGATAATTCATCTTTGTGGCTTTTATTTCTTCCTGCCATTGCCCCAAAGATCAGCTTTGGAGGGTTTGGGAGTTTTTGTAGGCATTTTGTTGCCTTGTTTTCTCATGTTTCTACTGTTGGTTTGTTGTGTGTGTGTGCATGCACATGTGCTGAGGTTTGAAGATTGATTACAGTGGAAAGAGTTCATTGCTAGTGTGGAGATCTCTTTAGCTACTATCTGCTTCTCAGTGATGCAGTCAGGGCTTGGCTAACAACAGGCTTTTGCCTGTGTCTCAGGATCCACCCATATCTGTTAATTTGGAAGGGGAAGATGCACTATAAATGGCACAACACCCAGTGCTATGGGATGGCCAGCAGTATTGTTAGTGATACAAAGGCAATTCAGATGTTGGCATGCACAGAAAAGCAGTTAACAACAACAACTATGCTACCTTGGCAGTAGCAACAAAATCAGTAACATTAACAGTGCCAAAGACAAACTGGATTATTGACAGACATTAAGGACCAGAAATGTACCCCTCTTCACTATAGAAAAAAGATCTGCAATTATAGTGTAGACACCAGAACAAACCAAGTAATGACATACAGTATCTACTAAATAGAGCAACTATACCTCTACTAACAATAGAAAAGTATTCAGTAGTAATACCATAGAGTTAACTATCTAAAGATAAAGCTTAATGGTTATAATAGTAAAAATGGGGGGGGGTGAACAGGAGAATGAAAGAAATAAAATTTGAAGAATTAAACAATAGAAGATGAGCAGGAGAGAAAAGTGAGATAGAGCATCCTGTTAAGGAATAAAAGGAAATTTGGTAGAATAGTGACAGAAAACAACAAATGAGAAAAAAGAAGGAAAACCCCAGCAAAATAAAGGAAAAAAAAGTTAAAGAAAAAATTTAAAGGAAAAAAGAGAAAAATATGAAATAAAGGGGGGAAAAAACCCCAAGCCCTCAAAAGCCAGTGAATGGGGGAAAAATATAGCTGAGTCCAAAAACAGTTCCTCTGTGTTTTCGAATTAGTATTTTTCTTCCAGGGTCTATAGTCTTGGAACTCAGCAAATATGGGGGAGGGTTAGTGAGTCTCTGAGAAGACCTGTTTTGTTTCCACATGTATGTTTTTTGTGTGTGAATGCTAAATCCTGTCCTGCTGAGAAATGATGTTGTTTCATTACTTTTCTGTGGCCTGGTCTTAAGTAATTAACCCTGCCTCAAAACACCTTCTGATTAAACTCTCAAATATGGCAGGCACTGCACTGGATTTCTTCTCCAGCTCTAGCCTGTTGTGCAGAAGGAGCAACTGTCAGAGTAAAACCCCACACTGCTTTTACAGTATGCAGTAACCATCAGCTTTTCTTGGTGCTAGTGCTGCTGGTCCAGTTTGTTTCTCCTTAGAGGGGCTGAAGTCTCCTGTTTACCTGGTGTGTGCGGAAACCGGTCCCCTCCCCAGGAGCCAGGGAGCACTTTTCAGATTGCTTTGGTCTTTTTCTGTATTGTTCTCTGTTCTCTAAGTTTCTAGTTTTCCTGTCAGCTGCTCCTCAATTCCTGGAGATCTTTTTTTTCTATTCACCAAATTGTTTTCTAGGTACAGAATCTCAATTTGAAATCTTGGAGAGGCTGTATTTTGCTGTTGATGCTGTCCTGCCATTCTGTCTCAGTCTGATTGAGTCTAAGTCTTAGTCAGTTTTGCGTTGCTATCAGAATATACCATGATCTGGGTTAATTATAATGAACAGAACTTACTGGCTTACAGTTCCAGAGGCTGGCAAGTCCTAGATCAAGGTGCCAGTGTTTGGTGAGGGCCTTTATTCTGTGTCATCATGTGGTAAGAGGAGAAAGGACAAAAGACTGGCAGGGACCACACTCACCCTTTTACAGTGGCATTAACCCCATCAGGAGGGCTGTATCAGTCAGTGTTCACTAGAGAAACAGATTTAATATGCTATATAACATTTAATATAAAATATATGGATTTACAAGGTAGGCTTACCATGGCCATCTACCGAGTCAGGTGTGGAAGATTGCCAAAGTGCTATTTGCATGTGGGAGATCTGAAGGATCCAGTCAGAGTGGAAGGCCTGGAGCTCACTATGGAGTCCTGTGCAGGTCCATTTCAGGAAGCTGAAGGGTCTGTGATAGAAGGCTGAAAGGTCTGTGCTGAAAGCCAGGAGACGTACTCTAAGGCAAAGGTGAAGACTTGAGCTTCTCCGAAGAAACAGAAGCAAGCCTTCTTTCTTTTTTTTCTTTTTATTCACTCAGACTACAAGCCTATTGGTTGGTGTCACTCATACCCAGGATAGGTCTTCTGACACAGAATTCAGAAAAATCCACACCTAGAACTATTCTCAGCCAGTTGTGCATTTCTTACTCAAGTTGACCTAGCAGTTAACTATCACTAGGGCAGAGCCTTAATAGCTTGGTCCCTTCTTAAAGGTCTTACCTCTTAATGCTGTTTCCATGACAATTAAATTTTTTTTTTTTTTGGTTTTTCTCCGGTACCGGGAACCGAACTCACGACCTTGCGCTTGCCAGGCAGGCGCTTTTTGCCGCTGAGCTAAATCCCCAGCCCCATGACAATTAAATTTCAGCATGAGTTTTAGAGGGGACAAACATTCAGATCATAGCAGGTTGCTATAAGAAGATGCCAGAGACAGTGTGGCTTAAACAACACATCTCTCACAGTTCTGGCAGCTGAAGAGCCATGGTCAAGGCGCCAGCTTATCTGGTTCCTGGGGAAGGCTCTCTTCCTTTCTTTAAGAAGAGTATTTCTTACCTATGTCCTCACGTGGTGGGAAAGAGATCTCTCTTCCTTTCTTGTTTATGTAAGGGCACTAATCTATAATGAAGACCCTACCCCTATGATCTCATCTAACTTTCTCCTAAAAGGCTCATCTACAAATTCCATTGCAGTGGAGCTTAGAACTTCACCCTAAGTATTTTCAACTATACACACTTTTGACACATAGTAAAGTTACCTGGCCAACATTAGATACCTTGGGAAAGGCTGAGATGATGAGTAGCACAAAATTTGGTAGTGTTCTGGAGCTTTTCCTAAAAGGCCTGGCTTTCCCTTCACTCAAGCATTTTTTTCTGTAAGCTGACTCAAGTCAGGACAAGATCCTCTGCCTCTTTTTCCTTTTTGTTCCATGTTTCAGCCAACCAACCAGATAAACTGTTAGAGGCCTTTCTAATTCTGAGTGGCAATTTTAAAATGTAGAATTTCTGCTTCATTACCCCTTGTCGATAAATTCAGCCTAATTCCAGTTCCCTTTATCCTATACCCTTAATATCCATTCCTGTCCACATTCTTTGAATTTCTGTCTATATAAATGAGGAAGTGCATGAGGTCCTTTTGGAGTGTAGTGAGTCTCCTCATGTGTCACACTCTGTACCTCACATTTAGGAGCAGCTTGGACTTTAGTCCCCTTATAGGTCTAGAAGCCTGGAGGGATGTGGGGCCTAAGGGAAATGGGGATTATCTTACTTGGCACCTACGTCAGGGTGCCCATTACTGTTTCTTCAGGTCGGGAAGACTTCATCCCCTTGGACAGCAGAGAGGCTATGTCCACTGTGGGTGAATATGTTGCTCCCACTGGTGGAGTCATGGATTTCAGATTAAAATTTTTTTGCCCTAGATAATGGACAAACATGGGTTTTAAGTGTGGAAATGCCATGATTTGCTTTGAGATTTCTCTAGCTACATCATAGAGAATAGTTTCAAGGCACAGAGAAAGGGTTTCAGGGAGCTGCTTGTTATCCCTCTGATGAGAACCTGTGTACTTAATATTGAGGCACAGCAGCACCTTTCATGAGCTGTGTTGAGCACACACACCGAGTTGGCCGTGGTGCTAACAGGGTTGCCCCTTATGGTGCAGCTGCTGTTCAGATTAAGGCAAATGCTGTGGCTCAGCCATGTGGTTTATGCCAGAACCACTCTACAGTTCTGTCTTCCCATTTGCAAGACCTTTTTTTTTTTAAATTTCGAGTCATTAGGAACAGCAGCAACAACATGTTCCACTTAATGAAATACGTGAGTGCTGCATGTTTGTCCATACTTATCTTTAATTAAGAAAAAAATGCATACTATTAGTAATGAGAGGGAGGTGTGTTACATATTTTGTTTCATATGAAATGAACCAAAATGTTTAATATTTAAGATCTGAAACCTTTTCAGAGTTGTGGAGGCACTTCATCTAGGTGTAGGGACTATGGTAGAGTATACTTTTGTTTCTCAGTTAAATTGCCATAACTTTTTTCTCTTTTGAATGTTTAATGTTACAGAAGCCAAGGCTGCCCCAAGAGATTGTTTCATTGAAGTGAATTCTAAAGGTGACAGATTTGGCAATTGTGGTTTCTCTGGCAATGAATACAAGAAGTGTGCCACTGGGTAAGTGGAGATGAGGTCAGGGGATTGTGAACAGTTATAACACCAGTCATCTGAAAGGCCTTTTGTGATGCTCTTTGTGACTGCTGGCTTTTTATTCCTTTAATTACCTATCTTTTCAAATTTAGATTTTATAACAAGTTCAAGAACAAAACCAGCAAAATATTTCATTACTGTAGTCATCAACTTTCTCTAATTTAGGGAGTTTTAGAATCTTACTTTTTTTCTCCTTGATCTGTAATAAGAACCCCCGCTAAACATCATTTTCCTTTTCCTTTCAATAAAATATGTTACTAAGTCCCAAGGTAAAGGTACTTGCAGAATTAACTCTGGACTTTGTTGTTTGTCAGATTCTATGTAACTCAGAAATGATGAATTAAAACATTTTTTATTTCTATAACATTTCCTTATTGTTAAGCCTATAATAATACTAAAAATTATAAATGAGGAAGAAGTTATACATTATCTCAGTCCCTATGTAGTGGGTAATTTCAGTGTATTTGTTCCTTTTTGTTTCTGTGCACTCGATGTGCTTGTGCTGACATGTTACATAATTGGAATTATTCTGTAAGATTGTGTGTTGTTTCTCCTTTCTTTACCTCATAAGCTATCAGTTAGGCTAAGCAACTCATTGTGAGACAGTGTTTGCTAAGAAATCGCAACAGTGACTTCCAGGGCACAAATCCAACAGGCATTTTAAAATCTGTGCTGCTTGGCCTTTTCAGTGTCATTCATAAATGTTTACTGTTCTCTCTTTGAAGAAGCTACTTTCCTTGGCTTTGTGTGGAATGCCCTTTACCATCTTTTCTTTACCCCACACATGATTGTCCTTACTTACTGCATCTCTGTGCAGTACATCAGCCATTCCAGCCTAGACGGGTCCTTCAGCCACAGCCTCTGAAGTGTTACTGCTTCTCAGCATGGTTAATTCTGTTCATCTTCCAGATCTCGGCTCATGTGTGGCTTCTTTAAGAATTAGAGATCTCTCTTGCAGGTGTTTTTAATGCTGTGTGCCTCTTTTTCATAGAATTTTATGTATTGTATTTTCATTATTGTTCATTTTTTAATTTATATTAGGAAATACAATATTCTATTTTGTGATTACTCCTTTGACTCATGAATTATTAAAAATGTATTGCTTATTTTCCAAATAGTTGAGAATATTCTGATTATATATTTGATTTTGTTTTCTAGTTTAACACCATTGAGAACATACTGTGTGTGATTTCAGCTCTTTGGGATTTATTGAGATACACACTATTGCTCTGTGTATGATTTATCTGTGTGAAATCTACATGCATGTGAAAACAAAGTACATCCTGCAGTAGTTGGATGTGGTGTTCTATGTGTCAAATGAGTTGTCACTTTTTTATCTTTGGTAGGAGTCTGTTTTATGGCTTTCCATTTATGATTGTGACTTTGATGTTTTCTTTTTAGTTCTGTCCCTCTTTGTCCAGCACATTTCAAATTTATTATTAGGTACATATACATTTAGAATTATGTATTCTTGATGAATTGACCCTTTTACTATTACCAAATTTTCCTCATTACCTCTGGAGAAGTATTCTGTAGGCTTTGTCAGTTTTATTTCTTTATGTTAGTACCACCTTTCCTAACCGAACTGTAAAGTCCAATGACACATTTAATCTTTTACATTTAGCATAATTTCTGGAACATAGTGTTTATTAAGTGTTTGTTGGGTGAGTAAATGAAGGTACAGATGTTGAATGACGAAAGAATGGGTGGAAAATTTGTATGATTGTTGGAGTAAATAGAGCTAAAGTTAGAGGATAAGTGGGTTAACTCAGACTTGAAGGGCACTTTGGTAGACAGAACATATCTTTGTTTATAGCATTGTTTTACTTCTTAGTTTTATGACTATGTTGTTAAAAATGCTGAAATTATATAACTTATAAATCATCAGGTACCTCATTTGAGAAATGTTTTATAATAGTAAAATGCAGATAATATTTTGTAACAGTAATATGTGGATTATAAGGGTAATAGTAAAGGATAATAATGTAAAGATAATGAAAGAAAATATTTTGTAATAGTATAAGGATAATAAATAAAAAGAATGATAAAAGTAATACAGTGATAACATAATATAGTAATATTAAAGTAATATAAAGATAAGAATAATAGTTGAACACCTTGGGTTAGAATTTTAGTTCATCCACTTAACATAATGGTCAAATTACTTCACTTTCCCATCTCTTATGTAAAATGGGGATAATAGGGCTGGGGAGATAGCTCAGTGGTGCAAGCGCCTGCCTTGCAAGCACAAGGTCCTGAGTTCGATTCCCCAAAACCAAAAAAAAAAAAAGAAAATGGGGATAATAATGGCACCAATTTCCAAGTGTTGTTTTGAAGGTTAAAGAAGTTGATGAATGTTAGTATTAAGCACAGTACCTGTGCCACGTCTGGTGGTGCACATCTGTAATCCCAGCATTTGGGAAGCTGAGGCAGGAGGATTGCTGTGATTTCAAGGCCAACCTAGGCTACATAGTGAGTTCAAGGCCAGCTTGGACTGCATAGTGAGACCTTGTCTCAAAAAAAAAAAGAACAGTACCTGATTAAGTGTAATCTTATCATCATCATTATCTCCACTGTCTTTATCATCCTCATCATAGAAAGTATGTAAAGGGAAGTCTAAAGAAATCATATATGGTCCTACCTTCCAGAGATGTTTCCTTAAATTTTTGTTCTATTTCCTTCTTGCTGATTTATCAGCTGCTTTCAAGGAATTGTTCTTATCCCTGTATGAAATACCTGGGTCCTTTTGAATGGTATTGATTTTCTTCAGCAACCACACTTCTTTTGGCCCCAACTTTACACATGGTTTCTTTTTGGTCAAAATTTAAATTTTCAAATTTTTTTGTTCTGTCTTTTGACCACAATTCTCATGATAAATCTGGCAAAAAGCATCCAGCAATACCCATGCCACAGCCTAAATATTGGGGCATCTTGAAATTTCCCTGGCTAGATAAAGTAGTCCACTGCCCTTAATCTCAGTCTCTTCAAAGACTCAGAACATGGGTAAAATATGCACAAATTTTCTGCCAGAGTGTAACATACATGGCTCCTAGTCCAACTATAAGTGTAGCCTTTGTTTCCAGTGGAAACTTTCTGAGCCTGACCTTTATTGTCCATACTCTGATCAGCATTCTGGCCTTCTGAGCTTCAGTCAGAGTCTTCTTTCAAACTCTGTTTACAACTTTGTAGGACTTATCTAACCTACTTCTCCAAACTTTCTGAACTCGTTTCCACAAACCAGTTCCAAAGGCTTCCAAACCATATGGTCAAGAATGCTCATAGCAGTGACCCCATTTCTCTGGTACCAGTTTTCTGTAATAGTCAGCTCTAGTTACTGAGACGTAATACTTGATACCACACACGTTAGAAGAGGAGAGGTTTAATTCGACGCAAAAGCATGATGGAAGGGCATGGTAAAGGAAAGCTGTGCACTTCATGGCAGCTAGGAAGCAGAAAGAGGTGACTGTAGTGACACACCTCTTCCAACCAGGCCCTTTCTCTTAACAGTACTTTTAGCTGTAAATTCAGCAGTAGGTCAATCTGCGGATGAGTAGATCCATGATCCAGTCACCTTCCAAAAGCCCCACCTCTAAACACATGAGGTTTCAGGGAAACATTGTAGATCTAAACTATAATACAAATAGTATAAAAAAGGCATTTCTCTCATGTGACTTTAGTCTTAGTCATTGTGGTCAGGGAAACCTTCACAGAGTTCTAATATTGAGTTAGTGAATTAATGAGTTAGTGCATTAAATCTGTAAGTAACGAAGAGCTAGCCAGGCAAGAGAGGATAGAGTCCTTTTTTATTTATACTACAAAATATAATATAATCTTTACTGTAACTCTTTAAGAAGCCATAATCGAATTTTGCTGCTGCTTCAAACGGCAGTGAGACAAACTGGAATGTGTGTATGTGTGTTCTAATGCTGCGGACTGAACCCAGGGCTTTGAGCATGCTAGGCACGTGCCTTACCCCTAAGATATATCCCTACCCCTTAGAACATGTTTAGAAGGGAGCTTCCTGTTTCATGAAAAATGATTGTGTTTGATATTGCTGTATTTCCTATGTAGTAGCATTTGTAAGATCATATTTATAAACAACTTTAGTAGACAATTTTGAGCTCTAGGTAGATAGTGAAAAGGGCTTAGGAATGGGAAAAGAAGAAACATCAGCACTAGCTGGTACCCTAATAATTTACATCCACTTTTTTTCTTCACTATAAGGAGACTGTATTGACCTTTGTTACTCTTACACACTTCGTTGAGATTCCCTTCAGCCAAATAGCAAACTTTTTGCACATACAATGTAATATGTAATTTTTTTATATATACCCTGGATTTTCTTTATGTTTGCATTATTTATTTCATTTTACAGGAATGCTTTGTGCGGAAAGCTTCAGTGTGAGAATGTGCAAGAAATGCCTGTATTTGGAATTGTACCTGCTATTATTCAGACACCTAGTCGAGGCACCAAATGTTGGGGTGTGGATTTCCAGCTAGGATCAGATGTTCCAGATCCAGGAATGGTAAATGAAGGCACAAAATGTGATGTTGGAAAGGTAATCAAAATGTTTCTACTTAGAAAGTAAAATGAAAAAAATTTTAAAATCATTATATGAAGTGGCCACTCTCTTCTAGTTATAAAAGAAATCTATATTTATCGTAGACATTTTAGAAAATACAAAGCCACCAAGAAGACAGTTGAGAAAGATTATAATTTTACTGTTGGTATTTTTTCCACTGGAGTTGTAACTGTTTTCCATTTTGCAAAATACTGGCCATATTTCTTTCCCTTACCTAAATTTATTAGCCAGTTTGCTATTATTGGGACACTTATGTGATTTCCAGGATTTTGAGTGTGTATGTTGTGTCTGTATGTGGCTCTGTACCAGAAATGTCACCCTTTCGGCCCTGTCCCTACTCCTTGCCATGCTGACCAAAACCATTTGGTGTGGCTCGGATGTGAACCTAGAGTTAGCCAGCTGTGATTTACTACCACTGATTCCATATGAGAAAAGAACCTTGGCCAAACTCCTTTTGGGGGAAATATAGTTAATACAATTAAGAAAGTTAATTAATGAATTAGATGCATTGAAAGGCTATGGCAGGTTTAAGCCATATGTAAGAGATAGGAGGCAGCAGAATGATAAAGCTGAAGACAGCAATTTGCATAGAAGATTATAGAGGGAGGGAGGGAGGGAAAGAGACTGAGAGAACATAACTGTGTAGCCTGTAACATACAGATGAGTGGACCCTCAAAGTTATCTCAATATCTATCTACTGAGTTTCTGTTTCTACTTCTGTTCTTTACTTTCTACCCAAAAGACCATTATTTTTGTGTCTATCTTTGCAAATAAACTTGGCTATTGCAGCTATTATAAACAGTAATGAGATAAATGCTTTAGAAATAAAAAAATTGCAAACATTTCTGATTGTTTTCTCAGGTTAAACTACTATAATTGTGTATATACTTTTAAGGTTTTAGGGACAGTTTTGCCAGATGTCTCTTTGGAAAGGTTTTGTTTCCCTTCCAACAGTTATATATAAAATGTTTTAAATTTTCCACACCATAGTTAAAATTTGCAGTCATTTTAAAGCTTTCAATAGTGATTTAAAAAATTTTACTTTCTTAATTATTAGTGATATTGAACTTTTTTGTCTATATAAATTCATTTCTTTTTTGTGATTTGCTTTGTGATTTTTTGAAAAAATTGGCTCTTATTAAAGAATTTTATGCCATATATAATGTTCACACATACACGCATACACATACATGCACACACATACACACACTCGCACACATGTATTTGTCCAGTTTATTGCTTGCTTCTCTTTTTTGTTTTAGTACTTTTTACCGAGTTTGCGTTTTTATGCACTCAGATCTGTTATTACTTTCTTTTATGGTTTTCACCTTTATTTATGTATTTTGCAAGACTTCCCTCAGAATAGTATAAGATCGTTTTTCTTAACATCTATTGATCGGTCTGACTGCTCATGTGTCAGTTTTGCCTTGGTTTTAGTTTGGATAGTTTTATAATATATTTTTAATATCCAGTGATACAAATGCCCCATATTCTTTTTTTCATAGCTTTCTTGGCTATTTTCATTTATTTATCATTTCAGATGAACTTGAGATCATTTTGTCAAGGTGCAAAAAAATTTTAAAAGGCGCTTTGGAATTTTGGTTGGGATGACATTAAATTTATACATTTATTATGGGGAAAAGTGACATCTTTACATTATTGAGTCTCCCATAGAAGAACATGGTATGTCTCTCCATTTTTTGGGGTCTTCTTTTAAAAGTGCAGTTATAAAGGTCCATTTTAATTTCTGATTAGTTTTATTCCTATTTTATATTTTTACTTCTGTTATGAATAGGCACCCTTATTATTTTTCTGATTTGTTAGTGTTTTCTATTTTTTTTGTTTGTAAGAAAAGCTATTTTGTTTATATTTCTGACTGGTTATTGTTGGTATTTTTAAAAAGTTATTTGTGTGTATAGACTTTGTTACCAGTAATGTATTTAGTTAGATATTTTTGTGTTGATTATACTAGAATTTTCTGGGAAACAGTCACCCTCTGTAAGTGAAAAGAGTTAATTTCCTTTCTGATATTTACTATTTGGGCTTAATTTTCTTGTTTAATTGCAATGATAGAATTTTCACAAGTGTTAAATACTGATGATAGTGTACGTATTTGTCATGCCTTTAACGTGACTAGACTGTACATAGCCTTCCAAGATTATATATGATTTTGGCTATTGCCATGAGATATATAATATTTATTATTTAAATGGAGTATCTTTTAAATTGTGATTAATAAGAATGAAAGAAACAAGAATGGATTTGAAACTTTGTCAGTGGTTTTTTGATAACTATTGAGACAATTACTATTTTCTTATATCAGTAAGTTCTCTAACATTACATTTATATTTTTAAACATGTTTTACTTAATTTATGTATACGTAACAGTATTTTCCTTTTTATAGTTTATATTATAATCTTACATTCTTGGCTTGAGCATTGTTTGGTAATGCTGTATTTTTCTTTAGGTGTAGTCCTTAAGTCTATTTGCTTGATGAATATACTTTTGTATTTCTGAAGCTATAATATGTGATTATAAATATGTAAAATTTTACTCTGTTGTTAGAGTTAGTACTTTTAGATCTCTCAAAAAGTCAACTAAGGTTAGATTAAAGAATAAAGAGAAATTTATTGGTTCCAATCCCAGGAGATCAGATAAAAAGCTTTGGAATCTGGAATCTGAGATAATGATCCTCTGAGTCTTCTCCCTTCCCTTCCCTCAATGCTTCTTTCTGGGCTTCATTTCCTTCTGTACACAGACCTTTATGCTTATAGCATAGAAGGACAAACTTCCCATTTTCTCAGTGCCCCTAAGGTAGGTAGGATTGTTGTTCTTCTAGTGAGAAATCTAGACATCTTGGAAAAGGATGGTAAGGCAGAACTTGAAGGGCCAGTTGTGAAATGCAGAGGAATGATGCAGGACAAGTGATAGGACCCAAGCTGTGTGCTCTGCCTACCCACTCTGCTTAGCCATGACTGTGAGGGAAGCAGATGACTCAGGTGAATTTACTAGAAAAGAAGGAGACTGGAAAGTCTACTTGGTTGATGGAAAAAAGGTCAACAAAACAACAAAAAAATAATAAAACTGACATTATTGCAGTCAAGTCTTGGTATAATCTATGTTTGTTTTCTGCAGCTTCACAAACCAAAAGTTAGGTATGAAAGTGTCTTATTTGGCTTGGCTGCTATAACAAAATACTACAAACTGTGTGACTTAAATAGGAATTTATTTCTTGTGGTTCTAGAGACTGAGAAGTTCAAGATCAAGGCACTGGCTATGTAGGTTTCCTTCTGGACTTCATCTCCTGGCCTGTGGCAGATGCTCTTTGAGTGCTCAAATGGTTCATTCTGTGTTTGGAGGGGCGGTGCATGCAAGAATATAAGCAAGCAAACTTTCTAGCATCTCCTTGTGTAAGGAGAAATTCCATTAGACTGGGGCTCCACCTTCATGATCTCATCTCTGCATACCTCTCAAGGCCCACATCTCCAAATATCATCACACTGGGCATTAAGGTTTCAACATCTGAATTTTGGAGAAACAAATATTGAGTCCATAATAGGAAGCCTATAGAACAGACTTCATTTAGTAGAAAAAGCATAGTGTTTAGTTCTTCCTCACACCACTGTAGCTCTTATCCTTGAGTTATGCATCCTGGTAAGTGTGCTGTAGTCTTTTCCTCAACATTTATATATTTCAGTTTTTTGGGGGGTATTTTTGTTTTAATCTGGGCCTGTTAGAATTCCCCAGAAAAGCAGAACCTCTGGGACACACACATACACACACACAGAGAAATAAATAAATAAGTGTATATGTATACATATATAAACATATATAAATAACATTTATTGTATGGTTTACCTCACACAGTTCTGGGAACTGATAAGTTCTTTCTTTTTTGTTTTTTTTCCCTGGTACCGGGAATCGAACTCACGACCTTGCGCTTGCCAGGCAGGTGCTGTGCCACTAAGCTAAATCCCCAGCCCTGGGAACTGATAAGTTCTGAAAGCTGCAGTTGGCAAATTGGAAGCTCAAGAGAGCCGAGGGTATTCCTCCAGTCCACATTCCAATTCAAAGGCCTGAAAACTAGGAGAGCTGATGAGGTGGTTCTAAAGGTCAGTAAGTTTGAAATCTATAAGGAGCCAGTATTTGAGTTCAAATCTTAAGGCAGGGAAAAAACCTGAGGTTCTAGCTTGAAAGTGGCTGGCAAGAGGAATTCCCTTTCATGTGGGGAGGCTTAGCCTTAGTTTAATTCAGGACTTCAACAGATTAGATGAGGCCATGCTACATTAGGAAGGCTCTTTTACTCAATCCATTGATTAAAATATCAGATTTGTCCAGAAACACCCAGAATAATGTTTGACTGTCTGGGCACCCCTGTGGCCCAGTCAAGTTGGCAGTAAATGAACCATCACAGTTAATACCAGTAGATAAAGTTAAGAATAAAAACATGAATTAGAAAATAAATTGCAAATTTTGGTAGAATGCCATATTCATTTATCTATTTCTCAGCCAAAACTGCTGAGGAGATAAAAGAATAAATTGAGAATAAACTTCAAAATGTGAAATAGAGATCTCATTAGTAAATAAAAATTTGAACATTTTAAAAAATGAGAGGATGGAGATTATTTCAAGAAAGTATTGAAGCCTACACTTACAATAGCTACAGAGAAGATATGAACCAGAAGACCACCTCTTAGCTCCACTGAGCCCTAGATAGACTTGACTTGGAAGTATTGCCTACCGCTGAGAATGGGATGAAATTTAGGACTGAAAGCACAACTTGGAGAAGTTAGCACCTCAGCCTGCTTTCCTGTCTGCAGAAGCATCAACAGCTGGTAGTCCATTGTTCTGAGGAGGAAAGCAGAAGGTAGAATTTTTGACATTATTTTTGCTGTCCTGTTGTGAGACGCCGGTGTCCCTATCCTCACCATAGTACTTGAGTACTGTGTTCTTGTTCATGTACCCCACGCTGAAC